TTAGCCATTTCATTGTTACATTTTTCTCGCTGCTCTTCATAACTCTTATCTATTCGCTCATCAATAAAAGTTGAAACTTCAGATAAGATTGGGTCAAAAAAGACTCGATAACCTTCCAACAAAGGATAAAGGAAGGTTGAAAGACATAGCTAAGAAACTCAAAAGCTCCACCCTACACAAAAGAACCTATTTTGTGAAAAGTTGACAGCTGACAACAGCTAGACTCGCAAGACAAAAGCTGACAACGAATATTCAAGAACACCCACCATAAGACTATCATCAAGTTTTAGAGAATTTGAAGGATTCTAACTGCATTCAAACGGATTCTAGGTTCCAGTTGGACCTGACCCTTAACTATTCCCCATATTATACCTTGCTGCATGCAGGCAAACGATAGTATGCACAATTTTAAACCTGGCTTTTGTAAAGTTTTAGAAAGCACACTGTGCCTGTCAGACGATACAAGCTACTTTTAAATCAAGAAAACGTCCATCAAAATCTTGTTTGGGGATTTGATAATTTATTTATCAAATTAAACAAATGTATAGCACCACCTGTAAATCGATATATCATCTTCAATATAAATAGTAGCACCCTGCCTATATGCGAGACGCGAAATGCTCCACCTGATTTCTATACCTGCTACGATCAGATTGAAAAAAATTTGCAAAGTTGTTATTAAGAGAATCTGTTGCTCCTAGTGTCAAAATGTACAAACTAAGTATCGTGTCCAGAGAATCCTCTCATTCTGGCTTTGCTTGAAGTGTAACGAGATGAAGAATGTGAGTTTGGTTGTTTTGTTTTTTATTGTATATTTTGAGCGCTATCAACTATTTCCTTACAATTATCAACGTATTCTTCAACAAAGACTTAACGGTTTGTATTCTAAGAGGGCCATTGCCATTTAGTATTTTTATAATAACTTGCTTTATATGGGTTTTTAATGACATAATAATGAAAATATTAATGAAAGTGGTAACGAAATAATAAAGTGAAATGATAATAAAAGTGATAAATATTTGCAAAGTATACGAATAGAATATAAGAGAGAAGAATATAAGTAAAATAGTTTTTAAACAAAAAGCTTATGAAATATCTAAAGAAAACTTGCTGCCCACAATGTCAATGGTAAACTGTTCTCATCTGAGGAGAGGTACTTAAAGTTTTTAGAAGGCAAATTGAGTAATAACACATCTAAATAGTTTGATGAAATTACGTGCTAGCCTACACGAAAATCTATTTGATTTTCTCTTGAAGAAACAGAACTTCGTCGCACCAAAAAGCTCGAAATATTTAACTCATACATGTGTTAAACACATCAAATTTTGTTAAATACCATTTATTACCTTGCTTTGGATACAGTGAAATCGTAGTTGGTCGATAATTCTTATAACTTTAATAATGTCAGCATATGTTTAGTTAGTATGATAGAATATGTGTTGATAATGTGGTCTCAGCAGCCACACCTTTAGTTAGAAATGATGATGAAATATAATTATAATTTTCTTCTATTCTCGATTATTTATCAGATAAACCAAAAATATGTATAAATGCTTAAAAATAACCAAGTGAGTTTGCAAGAAATACGGGCACTGCATTTATGGAAAAGAAGAAAATCTCGATTTTGAGAAAAAGGATGTCGAATTCATTTTTCAAAATTTTATGCATCATCAATAATCTGACACTAAAGCATCTAAACACCACCTGATGCAAGTTTTTCAATAAAAATGCTTGTTAGAACTGTCTTGTGCAAATAATTGCATGGAACTACATTGAATGTCTATTTGCTTTCATTATTGACACCTGCTTGGCTTTCCTGGATAGATGTCCTGAAAAGAAAAACTTTTTGTTTCTACGAAAATGTCAGAAGGTCATCCCTTGAAAACATCCGCAAATACACTTGCAAATACCCAAAGATTTTACATCTATGATCCTGTGATCATAGGAGGCATCAAAACACAAATTGGGACTTTTTTAATCTAATGGTAATCAAAAGGGGGAATGTTTTCATGATATTTGTGGTTTCATTTTTTCAATGATAGGTATGTACCCAATTATCCTCTTTGCATAAGTGCTATAAAAATTTAACTGATCTGAAATCCAAGTGGATGAAGCAATTAACATGATGTGAAGCTAACAGAGTTGAAATAGGTAGAATTGGTCGTTAACTAATTTGGTTAAGATATTTCTTTTGTGTTTTGAGTAATGTCATTGAAGCTGTTCTCTAAAAATCTAGCTAAATCTCTTGTTATGCTAATCTCCTCGCCTAATTTTGAGCCAAAATGCTAAGCCTCAAAATCCCATAATACGTTAAAAATCTCGGTTTACAGAAAATTCCAAACCTGTGGGTGTTGAAAACACGATTTCAGATTTATGTTCTAGATCTTAAAAATTGCTTTTCAGTGGTTCGTATGCAAGATTCACCCTTCAATTATTTGGGAAAGCTCTTTTCAGAGTTAAAGTACTCAGTAATTTTTTAGCCAGAAGGGTGATGAGAAAATGCAGCATAAAGCAATCCTATTCAATAAGAATGCTTTTTACAAAATTATTCTTCTATAGCTTTTGTAGACTTATTTTCACTAGCCACTTTTGATCCAAAGTATTTTGAAACATTAAGAATTGAACAATATGATCTTCCATCATAACGGGAACGACGCTCATGTCAATCGTTTATTTCATTTGTCCTAATTGGTTTCAAATATCGTTCTTGATTCAGGTGAATGTATGATGTATCGACGAATGATTTAGGTAGAAAGGCATCACGGTTATTGACTTATGTTCGACATTTGTAAACGATCCTTTCTGTGATTGATTCATGTTTGATAAAAATAATTTTCTCAGATTTATTTTCGCTGCGTAGGCTGTTGTTTGTACAAAGTAGTTTTTAAACATGAAAATGAGCTTACATTAAAGAGAAATGATTTCATGAACTGCTACTTTTGCTCCACTCTACGCTACTTACGTATCCAAAAATAATAAGGGGCTTTTTTTAACAACAAAGCCTGCAATAGATGAATGTAGTGCTGGTCTCTGGTTTAATCCAACATCTTAAGAGAGACCTGCCAACACTTAGTTGTGGAAAGCACCGAAATACCCGCCATTCCCTCCAAGAATTCTATTCTTTTCCGTTTCATATTTTGCCATTATTATTTTTATATCGCATGCGCAATGAACAGCTGTGTGCCCATAGGTCTAAATATCGAAGATATGGGCTCCATGCCTTGCCCAGAATGCAAATGTCAAAATGCAAAGAAGTTCATTCAATGCAAAGAGTTCTAGAAGCTTTCAAGTTTTACTTATCAAATTGAGAGGCATTAGTCGATACACCAAAGGCCGTCCTTGCTCTCAATGAGGAGAGAACTCCTTCAAAAGCCAGATGTTATGAGGGTTGTCACATAATTCTTACTGAGGGTGCTACGCAAAGATCTTCTCTTCTTGTACATCATTATAAGGAGATATATCAATTCAATTAAATATCAATTCTCTAGTCACATCATTTTTATCTGAAGTTGGATCGCCGGTAGCTTTTGCCATCGCAATTTAATAAAGTTGGTCACTTGCATTGAAACATGGCGCCAGTAATAAGAACGTTTGATCAGCAACAACCTGTTTATCTACGCAAACAGCGTATCTGCTGATACAGATTTAAATGACGCAAATACAAACACAATAATTTGTAATAAACTAACATCAGTAAGGTTTTAAAGAAAGACTCTTTGCACAGCTTCGCAAATGTTTTGCTCTTTAAACGATTAGCATAAATTCTGAATCAGCCAATTTGCTAGCTTTTCTGTTCATTATTCTTTAACAATTGTAATCACACCAATTTCAACCGTTAACAATGAATTTTTCTAAACTAAGAAATATATATAAACATTTCCATTAAATGATAATTAAAATGTCCTATTTTAACCGCCTCACTTCACACACAGAGTTAGAACATAAATAACACTCTGTGTTTTTAAAAAAATCATTTTTCCAAAGATAGTTGAATTCTAGTTTCAATAATTTCTCGCAAGAATATTGCATTTAATTGGCCCAGAGAATCTCTGGAATCTCTGGGCTTATGTCTGTGGGCTTTGTTAGCAGCATGTCACATTAATGAAGCATGTGTTTTGCTGCAAAAGATGTTTATTTAAGTCCTTTCTTTATGATTAATCCTGCCAAGTAGTTACAGAAAATTTTGATGTGCGCTTAGCTTCTGCCATTTTGGATATTTTATCGCTGGATAAGCCAAATTAGATTTGTGTGAATTATTTATTCTGGGAAATATGTTAACATATTGATAATCCTCATCACCATTTGTTACTTATATTAGTTGTTTTAATTCGGAAAATTTTAAAATGGCTTTGGAAAAAGCAAACATTTGAGTAAACTAATGCTTTTTATCTGACACTCTTCAGAGTTTAAAACGTCAGAATATAGATCGAGAACTCTACGCTAGGAAATATGTATACCCAGTTGTGGATCAAAATAGGCCAATCGGAAACGCGAGCACATGACTGTTGAGGTTGACCTATCAGTGCCGCTTGTCTATTGAAAATTTTACCAAAGGAGTCCTAAGGTGAAAACGATCTCCTTTTGTCTACACAATAGCGGTTTTTTCGTGCTTATGTAGATCGATTCCAAAACTGCTAAATGAAACGACGATCGGGCTTTACCCATAATCCGAAACATGTCGCCATTATAGTCTTTTGTACAATCTGGGTTTTCCAGTAAATGCTGCCCGATAGCAGAATCGTAGGTTTTAGTAAATCATTTATCAAAATTCAGCTTACAAACTGCATGGCAATTCTTTTTATGGCATAAATTTGTGCGTATGTGAGGATCAACGTTTGATTGTGATGAATACGGGGTTTTGATTAGCCCTAATAAGCAAGAGATACATTCCAATAATGAAACTTTCTCTCTACACATTAAGCTTTCTGGTTATACTCAAAGAATATTTCCAGCATGATTAACTGTATGCAATTTTAGATTAAATGATAACAACTACTCACTTTGTTAACGCCACAATATGAAGTTCATGTAGCAGATTTGATACCAGAGCATCAAATAAATATGCTTAATGGCAGAATCATGTTGCAAAATGGTTTTTTTCTTCCAGAAAGTGCAAGGCTTGACCATTTAATCATTTTCAACAGATGTTGGACACTAAATATCTAAAATCCAACAAGAAATAAAAACGTTTTAAGCCGATTTTAAAGATTGCAAGAATCAATAATATCTTATGTAGATAAGTATTCTGGGCAGTTTAAAGGTTTTACAACTTTTCGATTGTAGAGGAAACTGCGAGTTGTTGTGCTGAAGAAATGTTATATTTTTTATTGTCTAATGATACAAAGGCACCAAAAATGAGGACAAGAGGAATGGTTTTACGGATTATCTCAAAGTTAGCGACGCTTGTCATTTTCCAAACTTTCATAGAATTATATTTTTTTGAAAGAGTTTCTTCAGAGAGGGGTATTGAAACAGACCTTCAAATAAGTCAGATATTTCATTTATAACGCGAAGATTGGTATGAAGTAATTTTGTAATCGAATGATTCCTTCGTCAAACTTTTCAAGTTAAATACTATGTTGACGATATTTTCAGTAAGGTGTTGTCTCAATCACCGCAGTACTGTTTACGGGTTGTGATATTTTTTAAATCAATGCACTAAAGACGTTATTATTTTCATTTTTAAAGCTGGATATTTGCTAGGGAATCGAATTTAAATTGAGTCTATTCTATGAAACGAGCTAGGTGTATTTACCTTCTACTTTGAGCGGTGTCTTTGAAAATCTAAAAATTCAAATTTATAGAAAATTTTTAAGAAGATGTGATTAGAAAGACACCTTTAATTCAATACAGTAATGCTAAGGTGATTAATTTTCCATGAAAACTTGAATTTAGTGGCTAAACTCTAGAACTGAAGTTGGTGGCATTTCTTGCTTTGGCAAAGGCCTTGAAACCATTAGATTCGCAAGTCACTACAGTTGAATTTTGATAAATCTTTTGAAATTTGAGCTATTTGTTACTCGATTGAGATTTAAACTGTTTCTTACATTTTTATGCAAAAAGTGTAGACATAACCCTTCGATTTTCAAAACAATAGCTGATAGGGCGAATAACGAGAATACCCAGAAGCGCAAATTCAGTGTGATATTAGAGTATTCATGTCCCTGTCGTTTCTTTCTGCTGTGGCATTGTTTTGACTGACACAAGTATCATTCTTGTAAAGTTGGAATCAATATTTTATCCTGAAAACAAGAGAGAATGATAATTGCTCTGCTCTGAAGAAAAACTTATAGGTCTAAACAAACCTAGTTGTGTTGAAATGACAGTGAAAAACAACTGAAGATAAAAATATCAAGTCTCTTGAAATTAAACTTAAGTCTCTAATTTTTTTGCTGAAAATTGCATAAGACTCTAAACCTTATTTTATTCGACCATATTCAATAACGTTTTCAAATCAGAAACAGTTGACTTGCAGCATTCGTGATTTCAAAATGAATAACTGTTTGGGATAAGAGTTCTTAACAGTTTTAAAAGATAATCTATAAGGATAACCGTGTTGCAACGAATCGACATCAACAAGCACTGAAGGGAGAACGCTGATTTCAAATATGCACCTTTCCCTGGCTTAACCTTATAATCATATCAAAATATTCAATTTTCAATGTTTTGCGGCTACACTGTAAACAATTTTAGTTGTTACCCAATGAGATTATCAAGCAATGGATCGTGATTCCCTTTGTTTCTTTGTTTAACTAAGCGTAGTGTTATTATTGTCTTCAAAAGTAAGCTCAAAAATGAAATTAAGATTTAAATCAACAGTTTGATTTCACTCAACAAAACACTGCTCTTCAAAGAAATATTGGCTGAAAGCGCTCTGCAGGTGCATACAGCCATCGTCTTGCTGTTATTACATGCCCTCGAATTCTGGAGCAGGTGTTCGAAATTTATGACGTATTCAAAACTATGTCATATATAACGGGGGTTACCTGTTGCAGTATGTTTTTATGAAAAGCTTAAATAAGACACATATGTAGACATTCGTTATCTTTTTCCAAAGTCACAATTGTCAATACAGCCCCCTGTTTTGCCTGCACTATGCAAAATTGGGATGGCAAGATAGCATACCAAATGCTTTGTCGGCGAATCTTACCCAGCATCGTCCATGGAAAACAAATAGCAAGAAGGAAAATGACTTGAAAGACCAATCAGCTTATTGAATTGCTAAGAAATACATAGCGTCTCATAAATAGACTGGGCTTGTCTTCAAATCAACTCGTTTGTTCAAGTAAGGGACTTGATCGCTTGGAAGATAATATATGGAAAATGACAGTTTTAGCAACTGTATCACAATTTAATACTATTGGACCTGACACTGGAGCATCGAACATTTCTATTCTGAAGGTAATCGTGCTTTTCATGTGTTTTTGTTAGCGTCATGGCGGTCTGTCTTGCTACGTTCGGTTGAATGAGTACCGTGAAATTTTAAATTAGATATTTCATATTTTAGAACTTTGTTTTTTATCAAAATTTGTAGAGCTTCGTTTAACGTAATTCTTAATTTTCTAACTTTCTTATTTTTTACCTAATTCATATTTTTTTTGCTGAATTTTGTCTCTATTTCCGATCACTGCAATTGAAAATCATGTCAAATCAGTTAAGTGCATTTTTAAGTGTAAGTCCAACATTTTTCAACGCTGCAATTAGGTTAATAATGCTATTGTACTCTACAAGCAGTCTCAAACTGTTATGTTACCTTGCAATGCAAAGTTGTGACGCCATCAGTTCCAGGTGCATTGTTGCGTAGCTTTGAAGAAATAGCTTAGTTATTATTTATTTAGTCTATATGCTTGTTTAGCCTTATTTATTTCCTTCCTCGTTGTTTTAAATGCACTATATTAATATTTAACCCTGAATGTTTTTTTAGTAGATCTAGCCTGATGGAAATTAAAACAACACTGGAAATTAACACTGGGAAATTTTCGTATGTTTTCCTGTTGTTACTTCTTTACTAAAACCTTGTTCTGGAATCAAGTTATAAAATATTAACACATATCGCTTATACGTTATTGTCTTTTGCAGGCACTCGTGAAACAAAAATGAAGACGCGATACCTGATTATTTTCATCACATTTGGATTCATAACCTGCACTGCTTTAAACGAGAAACGAGACGATCACCATATTGAAAAAAGGGATGTAGACACAAACAAAAATTTGGAGACAGAAACAAAACCAAGCGAAAAAGAGGAAAAACAAAAAACTCCTCATATCAAATACATGAACGTTACATACAGGGAGGAATTTTGCAAGGCAAAAAACTGGTCAATACATTTTGGATGGTAAGAAGCACCGGCATTTGGCTTGCAACATAAAAATATATTTCTAACCGGAATGTTAGGTTATAAGCTCTAGCAATAATTGTTTTTTGATAGGTAAAAATTTAGTTTGATTGAAAATTGAAAAGCACTTTTGCATAAGGACTTTCCCACCACATATGCTGGACGCGGAGAACGCTCATTTCGCCATCTATTCATTTATCGTCTCGCTTTGGAGCCTTATTACAATAAGTTTATGTACATAAATCAGATGTGAATTGATTTATGTTAAAAAATTTATCAGGAAGAGTGAATCTAATATTAATTTACCGATTTCAATATAAATTATGGGAACTAGATTTACTGTTGAGATATGAACATGTTGAAATGAGGTGTGCAAGAGCTTCACAGTAATTTTTTGAACAAGGAACGTAGCGAATAGTTGCATAGCAACATTAACAGTGTTCTTTTTATAAGCACTGGAAAATCTAAATAGTATTGTAGCTTTAACATCTGCGAGAAACAGGCTATCGTTCCCATAAAAGTGCTTCTGATAAGAAAGTTGAAAATACCATCTTTTGGCTTCTTGTAATTAAAGTTTAATGTCAAGCTTCTTAATCAAGCAAGAGTAGATGAGCCATTAAACTAAGTATAAGATGATGTACAGCTTTACGTCTTTCTTGCATCTAAAACTTCGCTCATTACGCGTATAGCACGGTGATTCTCAGTTTTTCCTAAGCAATCGAATCCCGTTGGTGTCTTAAAGATTGTTTTCAGAAACAAAAGTACTTTCTGGCTAGATTTCTCTTCGGCTGCAGTTGTCTAGCTAACACTGGAAGGCTGATAAATGGGTGACCTTTTTTTAATGGAAAGGCTTCTCGCAAATTTAGACTAAGCCTGTAAATGTTACTAAGATTTTCGCAATCGCAGTCTATAGTATTTGTCTTCGTACAAACGGGTTTTCTTACGCTAGCACGTGTATCACATCAGAAAGCTACAGTTTTCACGTTTCACGTGTTCTAAGATGCACGTATTTTGGCAAAAGCAGCAGGTTGTTTGTAAATATGTGGAAACGGCGATGTGAAATGACAGGAAATTGTGAAGATTTCAATGCTTTTTTAAATGTGTTTCTCCTTTATGACTAAGAAGGTTCGCCTCAAAGACATAATTAGGTTGCCAAGGGACAAATAATATTACCGAGAAATTTCACAGAAAAACCTTATTTTGACCGAATTTCAAAAGGGTAATTAATGTAGAATTGGCGTTAGGGCCGATTGATCTCCACTGAGTACCTTACGATTTTATATCAAAGCTAGTGTTCCAATTTCTTTGACACGTGAGGTAAAACTGAACGACATTAAAGGCATAAGGGATCATGGTCCCGCACATTTCAGTAAGATTCTATTTCGATAAGCGAGCATTTTCTGCTCTTTGTCCCCCTTTAATTCTGAGACTCAAGGTGTGGTCCCTGTTTGTGATTTGTGCACGATATCGAGATCACTTTCGGTCAAAAGGTAGTAATTTCTCACCTTATCGCTTTCTTCTTCACCACCCCATTTACTGCCGGCTCAGTAAGGAAAAGTGTCCACATGAAAGGACAAACCTAGAAAGACAACAGGGACCACATCTGTGTGTTAACGTTTCAAATTAATTTTTTGCATTTGTATTTGTTGCTAGCTAGCATTCGAAGGTAGTTTTTAGGACACTGGAAATTAGATTAGATTCCAAATGTTTCGCAAAATGACGATGATAACTTTGCGATCAAAACATTTCTTTGTCACTAAAGAGTGGCGTTATATCTTTGAAATGATGCTTTTGCAGTAACATCAGTGGATTACTAAATGCTATGCTGCGTGGGTATGACAGAAGGTTGCGGCCACTAATGGAGGGTATGCATAAATCATGCCAGTTCTTTTCATAAGTTTATGCTATTCATAATGTCTCGTTTATTTTGAAATGAGTTGAAATGAAGGTGTTCTAAGTTGATGATATTTTCTCAATTGACGTGTGATGCTGCCACCTGCTGGAAATGTAATTCTCGAAATATTTACATTTTGAAAGCAAGAATCTTTCTGGGTAAAGTGACAAATTACTCAATATTTGGCCAGTCATCATTTCTTCTTCTTCAGAGCCCTTAATATGATTTTGAGGTAGACTGTCTGTTGGTTATTTGATATATACTTTTGTTTGATATTGGCTGCATACTTTAAGGTATATCATAGAATTTAAATGAAAAACCAGAGACATTTTGTGAATAACTATACTCTTGAATTTCAGCTCACAAGCCTGTTGTTATAACCGTTGGGTTCTGGATCCTGTCAATTGACAAAGTGAATGTTGTTGATATGGTAAGAAGCATTTTCCAATGATAGAGACCACTTATAAATCAAAAAATCATTTTGTTCCAAAATATTTTTCCTAAAGCCAAAGACTTGAACAAGTGACTTAAAGATCACAGACGCCTCCCAACATTAGACACCTCCCTACAATGTTAACATTTTAGCAAAAGGCATCTACCAAAAACAGACGCCTCCTGACAACAGACACTTTCCAGCAGGAAAAACCTCACTACAATGGTGACCTTTCACAAAACCTCCCAACAACAAACATTTCCCAATTCCCGAAGCCTTCCAAAATTGACACCTCTCAAAAACTGATACCTCCAACCACAGACACATTCAAATCACGGCCGCCTCCCAACAACAGACATCTCCCATCAACCGACACATAGTCAGAGCCTAATCCCAAAAAGGGTTGCATGTGAATGACTTTGTTTGCCATTCTAACTTCATGGATTAGATAAATATATTCTTGTCTTTCAGGAAGATTTTTTAGCTTTAGGTTTATGATTCTTCAGTTGCTTTTACCAGTATGTATGTCAGTGAGATTTTTTTGCATTTTTCTCTTCCAGGACTATCAAATTGACTTCTTTTTTCGACAATCGTGGGTAGATCCAAGGCTAAACCACTCCTTTAATGGAATGCTTACGGTATCTAATACAGTTTTGCAAAAGATATGGCAGCCTGATACATACTTTGAAAATTCAAAACGGTCAACGTTTCATGACGTAACGGTTGAGAACAAGATGCTTCGCATTCACCAAAATGGAAAAGTAGAGTATAACGCCAGGTATCTATAAAGGCCTTTTTAACATACTAGCTAGGGGGCAATTGCCTTTCCAGCCCCATAACTTTCCAATGTTTCCAACAATAGACAATATCCTCCTTTTTATATAAACAAAGGTTTGCCCCCGCAGCTAGCTTCTCTACGAAAAGGCTATGGTATTTATCACTACTCTGCTAAATCTATCCAATTTTGTGCTCTTAAAATCAAACTCACATAATTCACAAGTTTACCTTTTCTCTTACTGCAATCTGCCTTTACCGACTGCATTACCAAATCTTTCTTTTGTAATTCCAAGATTGATCATATTTGTTAAGTTCAGGCCTCTGAAACGTAAGCAGTTGAAGAAATTATAAAAACAATTTACTTTCAAAAATATTTATAAAATACTAAATGCGCAGACACACTGTTTTAAAAGGAAATATAGCAGGTATCTAACAAATTTAATTTAGTATTAGTTCTGGAAAAATAATCCTACAGTAGAAAGGACTAAATTTTATTTGTGTTCATAAGAACTGAACTCTAGGCAAAGAACAAGGTCATATCTTAATTCTTAAATCCTTGCGTCTGCTTCAACATCACATTGAAAGAAATTTAATAAATTTCTTAGTTCAATAATCATTGAAGAGAACTAAAAAATTTAATCTGATTAATGCGAATACAAATTCGCATAGAAAGAAAACTGTTTTAGTTGTATTTGCAAAAGCATATAATGTTGTGTAGCTTTGAGTCAGTTATGATTCACAAAATACCTTTTGTTTTTGTCACCTGTTATACAAAGTTGAGACGAAAATTCATAAGCTCAGGTCTCTGTGAACGTGAATGCTGGTTAACTGAAATTGTTTGCAAGTCAATGAATGCTGAGTTGACTAAAGTTGTATTGTTATGGCAAGAAGGTGGATGAATATTGGTGAACGTGTTTGTGCAAAATGCACAATGTCAAGTTGAAATTTTAAACTGGAAGAAAATATGATGGTACATGTAAAAAATACAAATTCAAGAAAATACATGTAGAAAATACAGACGGTACATGCAGAAGGAAAAACTTGCAAATTTAAATGAAACTGAAAAAAGCTTGTTGCAGTTTTCAAAGTCTTTTTATTATGCATTCTTTATAATTGCTTTCTCCATTTCACATAAATCGGAGCAGCAATGATCTCTTTCGCGCTCCTTTTGTGCTCCTTTCACGCTCCTTTTGCGCTCCTTTAGCGCTCCTTTCGCGCTCCTTTCGCGCTCCTTTCGCGCTTCTTTTGCGCTCTGTTTGCGCTCTATTTGCGCTCCTTTTACGCTCCTTTTGCGCTCCTTTTACGCTCTAATAATAGCATCCCTTCATTATTATGCTATAGGATATCGGTGAGAGCATCTTGCCCAATGAATCTCAGGATGTTTCCAATGGACAAGCAGAAATGTGCTCTGAATATTGAGAGCTGTGAGTTTTGCTATTTCCTTTTAGAAATACTACGCCTTGTCTTTGCAAGTTAGTTTGCACATTCTCGATAACATTTCCTACCCTATAAAAGTGTTTTAATATTTGTATCATTAAATACCTGAAAAATTAAGCAATCATCTCATACCTTTAAAAATATATTACCAATTTTATCAAAAGCATTAAATTTTTCTTACATATGATACCCAACAGTAAATGTTTATTTCTTGTCATATCAAAACTTCCTAAATATTTATTTCACATCAGAGATTTTTGTTACCGTAGACGGATATAGTGATCGTGACATTGTCTTTAAATGGGAAAACAAAAGCAATCGGATCGCCATTGGAGAGAAAGTCAGATCTTTGCCCCAGTATAATTTGACTGACTTTCAAACTGAAGAAAGATATACACAGTATGTTGTTGGTACGTACAAAAAGGTTTTTTAACTTGATCTTTTGGCATATTCTTATTAAATTTATAGGAACAAACAATTAATTACAAAGCGAGACCAAAGTCTTGTTACACATCATTGAATTTCTTAAAACATTTTATTTTGCTTCCCCTTTTGTAATGTCAAGAGGCTCGATGTTATGATTTGATCAATTTCTGTCTGGTATTTATAATACCTAAATCTAGAACCAACAGTGTCTTGAAAAAAAGGGGTGCGGTTTTTTCCATCGCAGACGGTGAGCTTTTTTCAAAACATCACTTTTGGCAGGAATCGTACAAATGCTTTGCGAAGATAATTGATATTGTTGTCTTCAAAGCTTCTTCTGTTCATGTAAACTCATTCCTAAATGATTCTCCACTTGAAAACAAGACTCTTCGTGATGCCTATGATATTTCCTATAGAAACCATTTTCTCCACTACTTTGAATGTTGTTGCAATGACATTCTTCTTTTCTTTATCATTATTCGGCAGATTAATGTTGACAAGCCTATAAAACAATGGATTTTAGACGATAGAATGTCACACCTAGGTTTGCATTTATCATTTTTTCCAGGTAATTGGTCTGGTTTGACAGCGATTTTTGTATTAGAAAGACGAACTGGGTACTTTTTCATTCACCTCTATTCACCTTGCGCCTTGATTGTTATGATATCCTGGATCAGTTTTTGCATTCCCAAAGAATCTACAGCAGCAAGAGTGGCACTTGGAATAACATCTGTTTTGACAATCACGACCATCCTTAATATGCTAAACACATCAATGCCTAAGGTGAGACAAGCATCTGAATCTCTTTCGAAATCTTCAATGTCATTGCTAACTCCTCCAACAAAAATGATTTCATCACTAGATTTTTTTACGGTCATCTTAGGGTCATCTTAAAGCCTTGTTTGGATCATTTTAGGACAACGAATCTCTTGGTTTTCGTTGTGTGGAAGTCCTACATTGGAATAAGTTTTCAGGGCCACTTGTAAAGTTCAACACGTCGCTGCTTAGAATAACTACCTATAAGTATAAAGCATTTACTAAAAAGTTGATTTATGTAATTAGGTGTAGTCTCTGAAATAGAAAAAGACGAAATTGTCGAGCTTTTTGCACACAGCTTCAAGACACATTTCTGAACAAATGCTTGAAAGCATGCAAATATAGCCAAAACATCACCATCCATTCGATGCACTGTTTGGACATATATCTTCTTATAGCAGATATATCATCCTTTTTTACTGAACCTAAAATCTCAAAGAAGAATAAAAGATAAAGATTGTTTGTTCCAAATTGAAATGCCTTGAAAATTAGGCTGCGGCATAAGTGGTATTCAGTCACAGATTCAGGCGTTCCTCGTTAATTTGTTGCGATTGCTATAGTCTTTACATGCTCTTCCTTGAATGAATTAATGCTTTCCTTTTTTTTAAGGTTTCGTATATAAAAGCAGTTGATTGGTATCTCATTGTAAGCTTTATATTCGTCTTTGCTGTGCTTATGGAGTACACATTGGTCTTGTGGTTGACGGACAGGGAAAGACAACAAAAGCAGAAACTAAAGAGAGCAAGAAAGAAAGAACAATCAGATTCTGGGGATAATCACCTTGTAAGTTGAATTTCATTCTAGGACTGTTACCTAATCGATTTACGCGCTTCAAAAGTTTGCCAACACCATTTATAATGACAAAAATCTCTAAAAGACGCCATTCAAGGTCCTTTTAACGTTTGAAAAACGCTAAAAGCGAGACCAAAGTCTTGTTACACAACCTTGAATTTCTTAAAACATTTTATTTTGCTTCCATTTTTGTAATGTCAAGAGGCTCGATGTTATGATTTGATCAATTTCTGTCTGGTATGCTTTGTACGCTTTGTGGTGAAAAAGATAGTGGATTCCCTGAAACTTAATCCTCCGTTGAGGATGAGTATAAAAAGATCTGAAGCAATTTCAGACAAATCCTAACGGAACTAGTCATAAACGTAAGAGCTACATTTGAGGGCTTTAACTAGCAATTACCGTGAGCAATGTTATAATCCTAAGGATGAGTGGCTCTCATTCTGCTGTTTTCAAATAATTTGCCAAAAGATATACACGGAAATTTTCAAAATTTTACATTTGATGAGCAGCTGCATTTCAAGAACTAATAAAGTTCTAGGAGCTAGTTTTGATTGTCAGGCAAAACTAAAACTCCCTGGGCTACTTGAAAGCTTCAAATATATCATCTAGTTTCATCCTTGACTGCTCCACTAGAAGCTACATGAAGCTTTTTTGAAAATGAAGGCTGATCGTGCAGAAAATTTGGCTACATTTTTAAGAATTTATTTGTTAACACTTCCAATGTTCATTGATCTTATATCTAAGACTCTGCACATCAGGTAAATAATCTATATCTAGACCAAATATAGAGGAAGCTCTCTGAAATGCATGTTTAATTTCCTCTTATTTCAGGACAGAGGCAGTAAGAGAAACCATAGCAGTGAATACCACGAGCTTCGTGCGAGGGTGCCAGGTGTTCTTGGAAAGCATTTTGAAGTAGGCTTTTTAACTTTCGATTGATGTTTTTCAACTGTCTATAATTTGATGTAAATGTAATCTTTTAGTCACTGAGACCTATTCAATGCATTTTTTATTGTACTGGCAGATGTTAATGCGCTATTTAGAGTAAAGGACAAAACAAATTTAGGAGGAGCGATATTGATAGAAACCATTAGCACATCTTCACAGTCGCAATCAGCTGCCCAGTAAAAAATGGAAGTCTCTTGAAATCGTTAAGTGCATGTTTTGAACAACAACAGCTTATTTTCGATTTCTTAGAATATTATCCACTGAAAGAATATTGAACAAGACTGTAACAGTGCTAATAATGTGCTATTGGTCATCTTATAATTCGATATTACAAAGAGCATTTACATGATACGGTTTAAATGATACGGTCACCCATCGATTCTGGCACTCTAAAATATATGGCTTTTACAAGATTTTATCACATTAACAACCAATCCATGAACTCGAGATTAAAGATCGAAGATGCATAAGGGATAGCAAGGAGAGCCTCGTTTTGATTTCAAGCCCTCGTTATCAATCTGCATACAAATATTCGCACTCTGGTCAGGTGTACCAATAATTCGTATCGATAATGAATGACTTCTTTCTTCTAGCAGGTTGCTACTGTTATTGATTGCAGAATATGAGTGTATCGAGCCTCTATGCACTTGAAATAGATCTGTAAAATGTTTTTATGGGATCTTAAGTGCTGTGGATCAAACTATTGTTAAAAGAACGAGTTCTTTTATTGTATACACGAGAAGGTGTCGGTCTACCAGAGCTACAGCGCCTTTGGTCGCTGGGGGGAGGGGGCGCTTCTTCGACATGAATCTATAGAATAACATGTATACCAAACTAGTGCATTTTGTAAAATAATATTCGATAGCATTGGGCTGATGTTTTATCTTCTTTTAAAGCTGTCGCACGATGACAATCACCAGACAAAAAACGGTAAACCTGTAGTCGTTATATTTGATGGACAAAAATACGCTTCAAAGACAAGTGACCAATCAGATGAAGTCAAGGGAGTTGTCTCTTTTGGTGTTGGCAAAACAAGTTGCCAGTTTAAGGTCGATACCATCGACGAATACTCCAGACTGGTATTCCCAACAGCATTTGCAACATTCAATATTGTTTACTGGGTTATGTTCTTAACTATGAAAAAGGATGATAATAAATGATAAAAGGCATATGATGTCGAGTTGATTAGTTTGGGAAGCTTAATTGTTAAACCAAAGATTTGGAGAATAAAGATCATAAGAATTGGTCTAGTTGCAGTGGTATTGCTTCATGCTTAAAGGATATGGGGCTCAGCATTGCAGAGCAAGCACGTGGCTTGAAGAGCAGTAGTAACAATAAAATGGAAAACTTTCTACAAATAATTGAAATCAGTAATGTTTTTATAGTTCAACGGACATTCACTTTGTGTAGCCAACACATTTAGCTTTTCTTATTTAAGTTATGGCTTGACTAATAGACAAAAATAAATGTATCCAAAGCCTTTCGATAATAATCGCTAATGTTTGTCAATGCTTCAATGATGCTACTGCTGGCAAGATTGTTGAATCGTCGGATTTCTAGCAGAGCTTTGCAGCAAAGTAAACAAAGTTGCGTCTCGAAAAGAAGAATGATCCTTATAAATAATTTACAACAACTGAATCTATCCAGATCGAAAGCCAAACAAAGCTGCACCAAACAGGAGAATTTCAGTTACGTGGGACAGTGGACATGCGCAACATCATGGTCAATTTATGAAGAAGTATTAATTAAAAAAAACATCAGTAACTTAGAAGTAAACCTTCGCTCTGCGTGCCTTCAAATGCAACTCATAACAATGGAGTTTCAAAGTTCTAGATAATACCATTCGATGACAATATAATAGCGTTTAAAGATCGAAACCCATTTAAAAAGTAGTTCTAGGTTGGTGTAACGACATAATGAATATTATCGAGAAACATGCGACAAGTTGTAACCAGTTATTACCACAATTAACGATAGTAGCATTTGAGTTACCATTTTTGTAATAACGGCGTAAGTGATTGACTTGAAACAGATTGATTTGAGGTACTGGGTAATTAAAAGAATTATTACTGCCTAAATAAAATCTTTTTTATATGTTTTATAATTAAGGTAAATACTTAAGGAAACAATATGACTTTATTCTAGCTCTTATTGAGATTATTACATAGTGTAACCTTTTGATTTCATAGATATGTTGTTTGTGTAAAAGAATGGTGTAAATCACCTCCCAATGAAAACTTAAAGTTGTATTCATAATGGCAGATATTGCATTTAATTTTTTTGTACATGAGATAAATCATCCAGAAAATTTTATTTTGCCTTGTCAAATTTTTGATTACAAAAGTTATAAAAATAGGTCTGTATTTGGTAAACGATTGATATTCTATGAAACACAACTGCCCTTATTGATTTCCCCTCTTAAAGACACAAGGAGATTTCAAGACGGTTCTGTAATAGTTTACTTTACAATAGCCGTTTTTTTATTGTTTATTTCAATTAATGTAGTTGATTATGTAGTATTTGATGACGATTTTCGTACATAGTATCAGTTGTTGCAAGTCAAAGGGAAAAATTAATAATTTTGCTGTTTTTCTTTGCGTTACTGTGACTATCATGAAAACCAAGTATTGTAATCTTTATATCAAACGGAAAAATTCTTTAATTATTTTGGCCAACCATACCGGTCTTGTGCTCGCGTTCTTCTGATTGGCCTATTTCGATCTTTAATTATTATTGAAGGGATAGTCTAAATAGCTTGGAAGATAGAATGAAATATTCTTGATGGTGAATCACCTGCTTTATATTATTCTTTCATGACTTTCTTTAAAAAAAATCTTGAAATATTTTAATATACTCTACAAAGAGATCTGCAAAAACATCTGGCAAAGTTCCCGGTCCACTGGCGTCTAAACATTTGCAATGCTTGGTCTAGCATTTCACATGTTTGAAATTCGTCGAGAACACAATAGGGCGAAAAACTAAATTTGTTAGGTATAAAATGGTTATGCTTGAGAGAAATTTTTATAGGCGCAGAATCAAAGATTCCTGGCATATTGATAGCAAAAAGAATTAGCAAAGTCAAAGCATTTTGGATTGAGACGTTTGCAAAGATTTGCATTTCAAGACATAAATTATAAGTAATATTTATACAGGTTTACTTGTTCAGGACAGAAATCCTGTTATCAATCAAGGACCTGCAGAGCGAGAAAGGATAAGAACATGTGTTCTGCGTTGAATTTTCTTTACTTACCACAGGTTACTTCCAAAAGGGAATGTGAATGAATGCATACTTTACTAACAGAGAGATGGCACAAGACAGAGTATTCGTGTAGACAATTTCTTTCTGTAACTTAATATTCATAGATTATCTCAAAAATATCTTTCCAGCTCCTGAATACTCTCAGAGTAAAGGGTAGAAGGTCTCAGTTACTGGAGGACGCAAAAAGCCCAACATTTCATATTTATATTCTGGTCAATTGTAAGATTTTCAAGACGTCCAGAAAAGCGCTGTGAAGACACGTTAAATTCATATTAGTAATTTAATACAGAAAAAATGCAGTGTAATGAAGTTTAACAAACACAGCAAAAACGAAAGATCTATGTACAAGCTTAAAGAGTGTATCTTTCAGCCATATAAACCTTATAATGTAAACCGCTATATCCCCATTCAGAGCGCAAGGCTTTGTTAAATAAATTACATAAATTACCACAAAATTCGTCCCAAACAATGTATGATAAAGTTCTCATAAATAAGTTACCGATCGTGTCTGTGCATATTTACATGTGTCAGTTGCAAAGTTAAAGGTTTATAGATACATGTTCTCCTTCTTTTTCGTGCAAACCTGAATCCTCAAACGGCAAACCATGCTTCATTGCAATTGCCTGTAGAGTTTCTCTGTCGGGTTCTATACATCGCTGGAATTTCTAAAAAAAAAATTGAACAACACGTACAGATTTAGAGAAATCCGTTGTCACCAAACACCTCGGTATAAACCAAGGCCTATTTTCAATACGGCCTATACCTTGAGATCTGCTTAGGAATTTGATATGAAAAATAATGATTATTTATATGTCGATGAAATTAAAATGGGGGATCAAGATTTTTATTCAAAGTTTATTAGCAAGATGAGCTAAATAAGCAGATTCTGCGGTTAGTAAATCATGGAGACATCAGTTCTGGAGAGTCTAGAAATTAGTTCTGGAGAGCAATAGAAACATATTAGTATTGAAAAATCAATGGCATTTAACGCCAAGTAATTTATAATGGTAAGCCTTGAATATGGTATTGTTAAAATCCTGATTACTCCAACCCCCGATCACTCGAACATTCGCTGAGTGGAACTGATGTTGTACCCCCGTTGAACCTTGCCCAATATTTTCATGTCAAAATACCACTGATAACTCGAACTTCCGATATCTCGAGCATTCAATAACTCCAACCATTTAATTCGGCCTCTTGGAGGTTCGAGTTACGGGGAGTTTATTTTATTCATATATTCAGCTTTTCAATCGATTAGGCAAAGCAAAGGAAGCAATGCAATGTTTAAATCATTTTAAAAGTAAGCGACTCAAACATACCTCGCGCAACGTAGTGCCTTCAGCTCTGAGCAGATTAACAAGGGCAAAAACAGGAATGGTCAAGATACTCGACAAGGCAATACACCATCCGATAAACTCTGCCCATACTGGATACGGCTTCCCATCGTAAGATATCCCCTGCCATCCGTAACAATGAAATACGAAAATCGTTACTAAAATCAAAGGAGTTATGTAACGCCAGCAAATGTTCCACCAAATACCCGGCATGTATCCTATCATTTGCGACACTTGGATGCGGAGGCGCTGCGGTCCATAAAACCAGCCAATAGCAATGACTTCCGTTGCAGCGATGAAAAGCAGCGATATTCCACCTGCTTGTGTGTCCAGTATATTTAAGACGTACATCCCTCCCTAAGAATTAATAATTGGGATCTCCGTAGGCAAGTAATGGAAAGAAACAAATTGGCATCGTGTAAAGTTTTTGAACAAAATTGACAACGATTTATGACTAGATAGTCACTGAACTAGGCAAAACGTGCTTTAGGTTTGAAATCTGTACAAAGAACTATGATGTGACGTAATCTATGACGTAATCTATGACGTGGGTACGTAAACTACAATCCAGGACAAAAATGTTGAGACAGAATGCAATGTTTGTAATATTCTACTTTACCTTGCCCCTGTAAATTCGAATCCCCCCTTTACCCCCGAAGCAATGTTGGATTTGTAGTTCTATCATTTTTGCTTCAAAATCATGCATTTAACATTGAATTGGGGAAGGGAGGGGGAAAGCTATTTTTCAAAAGAAAGAGAAAACATAAAGTATTCTTGAAAAGTCGCAACTATTTTTGTCCGGGATTGTAGACAAAAACCATTGTAAGTGAAGAGAGACTGGTTACAGTTAACAGCTTACCTGACAAGTCATGGGCAATCCAATTACAAAACATGCGATACATGTTGCTAAGATTACCAGTTCCTTTCTCTTTGTCAATTTTTTCGGATATTCATCGATTATATTGGTTATGATGCATTCTATGCAAGCGAACTAGAAGAAAAATTTGAACATTAACACTGATAACAGCCAATGTGTACATCTATTTGCAAGCGATTGATTTATATATTTTGAAACTACCTAGCCTACATACATTGAAAAAATGACCAAGAAGAGCCCACTTTTATAGGAAAACAGATGCTTAAACATTTGTATTCTTATCTTTCTTATTTTTTTATTTCAGATACATTTAGCCTTCGATACAATCCAGTTTAGTGAAAATTTCAAACAACTGCTTGGCAACTTTCACATTAAAGAGCTGCTAAGGTTTAAAAGATAGGAAAGGTAGCCACAGTGAAGACCAGCTTTCATAGAATATTTCGGCAATGACGTCGAAGATTCTAAGTACAAGTTTCATGACAATGATTGCAAAAACCTTATGATTTATGAATACTCTATGAATTCCATGTGTGAATTAAAATTTTCCTCATAATAATTGAACCTGACAGTTCATTAGAGACCGGCGAAATTCGACTTAAATTTTTTACCAAACATATACATTTTCAAGATAAAGTACGTAATGAATATCGACTAAAACGGCTTCGATTTAGAAGATATGAATTGGGTATACTATGAAAAGTAAAATGACTGGGTAAAACAATTATAGGCTGTGTATATACTGCTGGTATGTGCTTATAAAACTGTTTGATAGTTTAATATTCTTCTTCATCTCAGTCTGCTGCAAGGTCAAAGATTGTTACATTGAATAAGAGGATTTAAGTTTCTTAGTAAAATAACACTTGCTGGTTGCCATATTTTTAAGTAGAAATGTGCCAAAGCAATCAACCGTAAAAATTTATTAGACAGAAAAATTGGTTGCATTACATACCGAACTGTCTAATCCAAGTGTAAAAAGCATGAAAAAGAACAAAATCGCCCACAACGAGGAAATTGGCATTTGTGAGATCCCCTCAGGATAGACTGTGAATGCAAGACCAGGCCCTGAAAGAAAAAGAGACTCCTTACAGTAATGAACGTTTATTAGCTAAAATGTAATCTCTACAGCAAACTTTGAGTGTTCAAGGTTTTGGATAATCAGCTGGTAGTCAACGAAACCTTCATGAACAATTAATACTACTTACACAGCCTTAAGTTTGTGGAAAAAACATTGTGAAATACCAGAGGTCTCGACTTGTTATATACCTTTGGATTTGCCTGCTGTTAGTTTGACCAACGATACAATTGGGTGAAAGAATTAAGGTTTTGAGACATCGTCTGTAGTTAAGTCTGACGAAATCATTAGTCAGACGGAATCCTTACAAGACAAGCAGAAGGAATCATTATAGTATGTCGGCCAATGAAATTGCTAATTTTTCATGGTTGTCTGCAGATTCTTTTTCCTAGATCTGATTTCAAGGTATCTATTTATCTTAATAATATGTGTGCTGGCACAGATGATCAATTGGAATATCAAGCTTTCGTCTTTTCATATGTAATTTTTAACCGACCGATGATCTAGTGTATACTGTTCACCATCTTTTCTCTTCTTCAATCTGCACCTGAACACAAGTTTCCTATCACTTATTGGGAGGACGATAAGTTGCATCAATACATAGACACATGGCTCCTTTTTCGCGTAATATTGAATTATAGCAGTGTAAAAGGTTGATTCTATATGCAATTCAGAGTTTAAAATGGTTCAAAGTCGGAGAACCTACCCGAGGAAACCACCTTCTCAATATCAATTCCGAGATCTTGAGACATGAATCCCAATACACTAAAAATAACGAATCCAGCCAACGAACTTGTGAACGAGTCCATGCAAACCAACCCGATAGCATCTCTAAAAGTTAAATGTAATAGTATTGTAAATAACAATGGTTGAACAGCCTTTTGGCAGGTCGTACCCCAGATTTCCAAAAATCGTATCCTGGATGAGTCGGACACTCGCTAACTGACACAAACCATTCACTTCCCCTTCCTCCCTTCTCTCCCCTGCTGATAACTTGTCAGAAGGTTTAAAGAAACTAGTCATGATATACTTATTTCTATTGACCACGACAATTATATTCGAAAGTTTTACAGGATAATACGCACCAGTTCCATTTTTAGATAAAATAACGCAAACAAGACCGGGACAAATGAGCTCAGGTGATATAAAATAATCACGTGATTATATACCAAGAATATAATAAGAGTTCAACATGTAGGGGAAGTATGCACTTTTTTAAAAACATTTCTAACCATGATGAAAATGTCCCTTCGGAATCAGATCTAAAATCAATTAAATAGCTGCAAACAAACTCTTTATTTTGGTAGCTAATACACCTTGTTATTTCAGTGAAGAAAAACAAGAACATAAATAGAAACTTAGATTCTATATGCTAGGGATAAAAATCAGCTTGCTTTAAATATACTTATTAATCATTCATATTTGATAAGATTATTAAGCTGGTTTCATTTCTTAACAGTTCTTTACATCTGCAAATAGAAGATAATAGCAATGTATGCTTAAAAAATATAGTCCTATCAATGCGGTCTTATCTATATGGTCTTATCCTACTAATACCGACAAAAAATTGGAATTATTTGCTCCGCTGAACTGCTAGAAATGACATCTTGAAAATATTTGTGGTATACCACATATCCTACCTGGGATAATTTGGACATTTGCTTAGCCGTATCATTTCCACACCTCCATAGATCTTCCGACTTAATAGGATTCAGTTGTACACAAATAAATTTAACAATTCATGTTCATAATTTCTTACTTGGAAGGAAATATCTGGCCAGTTTTTCGGGTGTCTTATAACCGACAAACAGTTTAAGTATGCCATGGCAATAAATGTAGCAGTCCACGTTTACATGATAATGCGTGGATGAAGTGAAAGCAATTGCTCTAACTCGCAGTTTCATTTATGCTAAACCAAAGGATTCCTAAATCACAAAATGCAGCCTAAACCAGCCCTATTCTTGAGACTTTGAAGGCATAAGAATAATAAAAGAGCAAACATTTACCTAAGACAGTTATTGTGAAATTCGTTGTAGCTGCCAAGCGATAGAAGGACACCCCAGGCTGGTCCTAGCGAGTAGAAAAGTTGTGTTGTTGCTGCTGCCCAAACCTTAAAGAAAAAGAGTTGATTAAGTTTAGCAAATAGGTTTTGTATCACAAGCCTAGTTTAGTTAGTTTGAGTATAGACCACGTTAATAATTGGGGTTTTTCCATTAATAATTTTCAAATTGTCACTAAGAAAAATGTCTGATAGATTAGCTAGCAGAACCGGCCAGAAAGGAAAAAAATATAGTCACCCAAATATTATAATGATTTCTTCTTAATTTGTACGATATTGTTTAAAAGTGCAAAAGAAAAGATTCTGATGAAGAAATAAACACTTTCTCAAGCTTTGTTAGAAGTCACATTGAGATCACTGTTTGTTAGAAACGTTTAATTTCAACCACACAACAAGTTAGTTTGATCTGCTAATCGGATTGAAGATTGAATGCTGATTGAGTTAATCAAAGTCGTTTAATTTTTCATTGGGCCACGTATGGTAAGATATACCAGCTTTAAAAACAAAAATTCAGAATTAACTGAGCGAGGCATACCTCAGCATTAGCAAGTTTGGAAAAGTCGGGCTTGATGTAGAAGAGAATACCGTCGACTGCTCCTGGCAGTGTAAGTCCTCGGATCAAGAGAATAATGAGAACGACGTATGGAAATGTCGCAGTGAAGTAGACTGCCTGAAAATAAGGAGAAAAATGATCTTGATTGTGAAACATGCTCTTTCCAAGACATGCTTAAAATGATATGCAGTCTAAACAAAAATTGAGAAAGGATTCTAAGGTACAAACATCTTTGCAGCGAAAAAATTCCTGAACAGAGTCAATGCATATATATACAAACAGGAAACCTAAAACTGTGCTAACTCTTTAAATATTCTTCGAACATGCAAAAGAAACAACAAAGTGTACCTTTCCGACTGATTTGACTCCTTTCCACATGCAAAAGTAGACAACTGTCCAAGCACAAATTAAAGTCAATGCCAATTGCCATCTCATTTCTCCTAATTCATTAACATTTGAAGTGATATCCAAAACATGATGGCTGCAAAAATGTTTACAATGTCATAGTGGCAAAAACAACTCCCAAAGTATTGGATTTTTATAATCAGCCATTGGATTTCCTAAAGGTCAGTCTCAAGGCCTCACGATAAGAATTCAGTGAGAGATGGACTGTTGGTACAATATGCCGAATAGAGGGGTATCCTTGCCAAAATAGAGGATAAACATGAATTTAAAAGTCAAATTTATATCGAGGGTTACCAAAGGTTTTGCAAAAAGCACTACATTTTCGTAGTTTACGTGCAAAATCTCAAGATCTAGTCAGCTCTATAGCAAGCCTCAAGATGTCAGCTAGGTAGCACTGCAAGTTAAAAACGAAAAGGTCAGTTACGAAAGGAATCTTCAATGAAGTCTCTAAGTAAATATTTGTCACTCACTTCCAGTACTCTTCGGAAGCTGAAAGTCGATCTGTTCCGTTTAAAACGCATTTAATCACCGAACCGTTTGCAACAATTGGCGACAAATACGTTTCCTGACAGACAGTTAAGTTCTTTCCGATAGCATTGGTTATAACCTTGGTTCCATTGCCAATTATGCTTAGCTTCTGCATGCATTTAGGCGAGTTCCATTTATGGTCGCATCGTCTCCAAGGGACATCTGCCCGGAATGAATCGAACAGATAAAACAATATCCAGCCAATAATCACGTTGTAATATACGCTGATCAGAAAGCACACGATCAGCATGGCATAGCCAACGCCTAAAAAGCAATGCAAAGCAATAATCAACTAGTGCCTGTGCCTTATACTGACCCCCTTACAACAATAGGTATAAAATCGTTTTACTTTCTAAGGACACTTTTACGTTCTCTGATAAAGCTCAAGCCTTTGGGGTTAAATAGTCAAAATTGGGGTTAAATAGCGTAATTTGATTTTTGGAACAGGTTTAGGGATAAAATATGGAAAACGTTTCAGCATGATACCCTTGAAAACTGACGCCAGTGTTCAAAGACTTTTGGCAGGCTGTATACATAGAAGGGTATATATGACTAAATTCCAAAGGAGTCTTCAAACACTTTTTAAACACCTTCAAATTCTCATGACGCATTCCTGTTGGTTTTCTCTATTTCGTTCCTTGAGGCCAGAGATAGGAAACTGCCTCCTACCCGAAATACGGTGCTTGCAGAGGACAACGACTCCCAGGATACCGACACAGAACGCGCTTTTCCTCCTGCTAATGTGAAAGAATCAATCATGGTGATGTTTTTAAAACCATGTACAAGTCAAAATCTGCTACCATTGACTTTTTTCTATTTAATGAACTGCAAATTAGTTATTCAGTAAACGAAAAAGCAGTTGGGTGAATTAGACAGAAATGAATCGTTTAGAGCGATAGTTTTTGTTCATTTTAATATTCCTTCTTCATTACTGAAATTTAAATGATAAAATTGTGTTTGTAACGAATGAGTCTTCCGGTTTCATTTAATTAATTCCCTAATTCCCCATTTAATCAATCAGTTCAGTATCTGCACCAATGTTACCATGGCATCAGTTACCAATATCGAGCACTTAGAAACAGATTCTTTTCTCCAGATAGCGTAATTAGTGACCGCTGAGTGCTGGGTTTTGCCAAGTGCTCTTGAATAAGTTAGTACTCTTGAATAAGGATATCGATTGTATCATTAGAAAGGAAAGAGCTTGTTGTCTTCCCCACACGGTGCAACGTGTTCTTTTCTACAGGTGTTCTTATTATAACTGAAGAATAAACATCAGGGAAAAATGAACAGGGCGATAATGCAAATAGGGCGCTAATCATGCTCCTAGGTCCGAAATTCACAAGGGAAAAGTCCTTAGTATGCGGAATGCAAGGTATGCATTTGTCCGTGGCTGGGGCGGACTAGAAAGCTGCTAGCGAGAATCGTGTGTAAGCAATGCCTCGTACGTGAATTTATTACCAGTTCTTGAAAAATTAGTTTACAAGCTACTCGGTGAAAATCGCCACAATGAATAAAGCAAGTGCATAGTAAAGAAACTTGCTATGTTCATACCTGCAAACAAGGGACAGATGGCCCGCCATGATTGGATTGGCCCTTTTGAAAAGTACTGTCCAATGGAGATCTCCAGATAGTACATTGGTAGTCCACACAAAACCATCATGATCAGATATGGCACAAGGAAAGCACCTGAAACGCATAAGCAGTTAACAAGAGTTAGTTTATCGATTCGTCTATCGCTAAATCCAGCGCTATATTCGCAAGACATAAACAAAAGTTGTGTTGTTGATTTTTAGCAGTTATAAAAAATATTTACTCCATTATTTATTGACTATCGACATTTTTGTCTAGCTTGCGAAGCCTTCCTTTTGCCGGTATGACGGGGTGGGGGGGGGGGGGGGGTTGTGGGTATATCCGTCCAACTAAGATTAATCCTGAAATTTGCAAGAGGCTGCGAGATGGATATTCTTGGGGAGGGAGGGACCCAGGGAAGGATTAGGGTGTAGCCCTTTGAACGATGTGAAAAGAAAAACCCTGAACTTTTAATTTATCACTCCATGTCTTTTACAGCCTTTGGTGTTCTAACAAAGTCAAAATTATTTTGAAGTCTTACAGAATTTATCCTTTAATGATATAACATTTCTTACGAGCTTAATTAGACCTAATTTCTCAGAATGTTACAATGATCAGCAGTAATTCAAAGATAACGGCTTTCGAAATCACTCATAGCAAAAAGTAAATTTATTAGGTTAAGTGATGGTGATATAGCTGAACAAATAAAAAAGCAATAAGAGTCAGGATACTGTTTAGTTACTACATACCGCCTCCATTTTTGTAAGCCAAGTAAGGAAACCTCCATACATTTCCCAAACCAACACTAAATCCGATACAAGAAAGAATAAACTGTGTCTTGTTTTCCCATTTAGGCCGCTTGTGATTATTTTTCTCTTCGTTGCCGTCGTCGAAATATTCAAGTTGCGTGCTCAGCTCCTTTTCGTCAGGCTTTTTGCTCCCAAGTTCAATCTTCATCTTTTTTAAGTAGTAAGCAATTGAAACACATAGGTTACGGATTGATTTGTTTTTTTTGAACGGAAGGACGTTAACACGCAACGTTTCCAAAAAACAACGTGGCACCTGGACCATAGCAGACTTCAATGTGAATGCGCTCACAGGTCACACGGATCAGAAGTCATTGTTACCTGGTTTGCAAACTGCTTTCAAACAGCGGAATGCGGGCAACCGGCTAATGCGTTTATTGTCGTATGCGCTCTTACTGGTTTACAACTGGCAAATTCACAAGTGCTATATAAACAGTAAAATACTTGTACAGTGGCTGTAAGAAACTTCAAACAATGGCATAATATGGTTTAGTTAGAATTTGAGAAATGCTGATTTTCTAATCCAAATCTCAAAAGAAAAACGCTCGTGTCCGTTTAGATACCTCTAAAAATGTACTTAAACAAGACTTTCACACTGCAGGTTGTAACAAGAAGAAGCAAGTTACCAACGCCTAAAAATCAAAACGAGTGAAGAAAAGACAGGCAGACTAGGGAAACTGCCAACCTCATGATTGCGAAGGGTTTCGTCAGTCGCTTCCCCTTTTCTTATATTCATTTCAACAGCACTACTTCTTCACTTATTTGGTGCTGTATATAAAGCATGTTTACTTTTGTAGGCATAGGTATGGAGGGGCTTGCAGCAAAAGAAATTCCGTTTCTTGTGCAATAGAGAACCAGATGTTTGAACGCGATTAACGCCAAGCGCAGGACCGCCAAGCATGTGAATACCGCTAAATGTACAATACCAAACACACCCGCCAATACGCAAGGCAGAAGACATGTGGAATGAAACTGCAGAAACCTGTTGTCCTAGCTGCATACTCTTTATTATAAACAAAGGAACAGTACATAAGCAACGCGTACATTAAGTACTTGTTGCAAAACAAATGCTCTTGTTACTAAATTTGCGGCTATGTTAGGGAATCCGTCACAACGAAGCCTTGTACAAATCGGAGCCTTGTACAAAAATTGATTCCAACAAGCATTGAGCCTCTCCCTACCTGTATTTAGGCAATATCTGCGACTGGGCAACGGTTTTAAAAATGAAGTGAAAAATACATCGAAATTCACACGCCTCGCGATACTGCAGACTGAGACATCACAGTAAAGCAAAGGCTAGATTATAATTGTCCGAAATAAATTTTTTGGCAACGTGGGCGAGTTGTTAGATAGAGAGGGGTTGGTGGGGACTTCCATACCTGTGGGCTAAAGCTACCAGCCAACCTAGTCTCCCATCCCTCCCTGGTCAGTTAGCTGCTAGTAAGGAAAAAGCACAGGTGAAGGGGCTGTCTCATTAGATGTATATGTTAGAAAACCCAAGCATTGGATGTAATGTTCAAAAACTCAACATTTTTTTTGTTTCGTGTGTCTTTAGTACGCAGTGACTTAGTGTGTAACGTAGAATCTTGGGCAGGGCTATGTGAAAACCCCTAAACACGTGACCAGTAGCATGGGTGTATAGTGCAGCTTCCCCCCCCTCGTATTCAAATTTTGAGTGTGTTTTTAGTAGCTGAGATAGCACTGGGTGGCGGGGCTAAAAAATTTCAACACCGTCTGTCCAGGATTGTAGCATTCCACGATTCCCATTGCACCCAAAGATACCAATAGAAATTTATGTCAGGCTGAGGTAAATTATGTCTTCTTCTCCAAATAAAGAGACAATATCAAAACATAAAAAAGGATCAGATACTAGAATAATCGCAAATGGGAATACAATAGTCCCAAGCTCAAAATCACCGGCGAAAAAGATACCTATACCCCTTGTTTACTGGTTGAAACTAAATACTGGAAATCAAAAGAAAAAATTAAAAATTAATTTACACTCTATTATCTTACAAGGTTTTACAGTACTATCTACAAATCGTCGCTGGTTAAGTAATCTTTAAGAGCATAAAATGAGCAAAGATTTACAAAAGCGATAAATCCCAACATAAAAAATCCGGCAGCTTAGCTTGGCAGTTAAAACATGGTATTCATGCACTAAAGAGCAAAATATAAAATTAGCGTCTTAGCGTCTTGGCAAACACTTTTAAGTATCTTGGATTATGGATTACTGGATTTAAATAAAGAATATATTCAACATGTTAATCCAAAGAAAAAAAGGTCTTTTTGAAGGGTTTTTGAGTAGACAGATCGTGTGATTTTGCCAATACCAAGTCACCAAAATGATTAATCAAGGGTCCAAATGAACAAAGCATAGTATTTGGTTATTAAAAAATTGTTGCAATTCTGTACACTTTTTGGAAAAGACTATTCGCAGGTCGCTTTCTTAAAGGTAACCCTTTAGAAAACCCATAAAGTGAACAGCTCGGAAATGCCTTGATGTATATATCGCCAAATATCGGCTAATATGAATACTGGGTAACTTTTCAAGGTCCAAAGCATAAGTAGCACTCCTTTTGGTACATAAAGATTGTATGGAAAAGTAACTCCAATTGAAAGATCTTAATATTAGACTGTTACATAACATAAGGAAAGTTCATAATGATGATAATAACAACACATAATTCTGTAAAAACCGTTCTATGGAAATACACTTAATAACGTACGATCTATCGTTTCCTATCCTAAATAAGTATTCGATGCACTCTTTTCATAATCAATTTTCTTAACTGATTGCTAATTGTACATCTCATCTGGGAACCTAAACCTTAAAGGCGACAACAGTAAATGTTTCTAGCATAGATTTTGTATATTTGCCAACCATTTTATATGCAGTTGACAATGGCGGGTTAATTATGCATATGGCGGTGTTTGTCAAAATTCGTCTTTTCGTCTTTGTTTATACTTCTCTACACGTTTTTGCAAATGTTCGTTCTCTGTTTCTAATTCTGTTATACGTTCTTGTGAATTTCGAAGCTGTAAAAAAACAATAGAATTAGTTAATGTTAATCTGAGCGAGTTAGAGATCAAACTTATTCAATTTCATTCGGCAGATCCAAGTGACGTCACGAGATGATACAACAAAACACTCGGTGAAACTGCGGAAACAACGTTTTCGAACTATGAAGACGACATTCGTTCAACTTTACAGTTTAACGCAAACAAAAATGTCTTGGAATTTGTTATAAAGTTTTTAGGCACGTTATCAAAATTGGATTATCATGATTAAAAAAAGGCAGGCCTTGTGAAAATAACAAGAATAACTGTCTTCAGTCTTAATATTAAGGCGAGAAAATCAAAATCATTATTCATGACTGCAGAAAAAATGAAGCGAAACGTTAATCTTTCAACGGAACAAAAGTACAAACTCGGTTTCGTAATTCTTATCAAGTAATAAACGATCTAGTAATAAAACAGGGATATATCCGTATAAATAGTTACGTTATCCATATAAAGAGTGCCTAAATATCGCATTAACTGTGAAACTTTGAGTAGCAACTCAGAACCGTCATGTTTTTTACACCGAACGTGCGTACAGCTCTGGCATCGATCATTTTGTGACAGACCAGTAAAACCGCATTTTTCGTATAGAGAGTTATATAGAACATCAACAACAATTTCAAATGTAGTATTGATTAAGCAGAGATAGCGTATTCTATTAATGCTTTAACAGTTACGCAAAAGACACACCACTCACCTCCCTGGCTAATTTTCGCTTTTCTGCTAAAAGAGTATCTTCGACTGATTCCTGCAACAATAACGTTTTGCTAAAAAACATTCTTTCTTTTCAGAAGAAAATAAGAACACGATTTCATCGTTAAAAAGTCAAATGAAGTCATTGGCATATGTCTGATTTTTCGATACAAAAATAATGATGTTACGATAAAATACTTCGAAATCTATGAATTCTTATCTTAAGAAAATAGACAAGTCTAGCGTGCACTTAATATTCAAGTCAAGCGCAGAAAAGGGAGACAAACTCAGGCCACACACTTTAACAAGTAATTTAGCACAGTTATGACGTCATAAATACTTTTTTAAGTTTCAGACTTATCTCTTTTAATATGTAAAGGAATCAACTGGGGTGTTTCATATCTTTCAGAGGAGTGTTTCATATCTTTCAAAGGGGTGTTTCATATCTTTTAGAGGGGTGTTTCATATCTTTCAGAGGAGTGTTTCATATCTTTCAGAGGAGTGTTTCATATCTTTCAGAGGAGTGTTTCATATCTTTCAAAGGGGTGTTTCATATCTTTCAGAGGGGTGTTTCATATTTTTCAGAGGCGTGTTTCATATCTTTCAGGTTATATGGTCAAAATTGGAAAAAGCAAAAAGAAGTCATCACTTTACAACTTTGTTGGTGTGAAAATACGTTGAAATATTTGAACAACAAAACAAAAACACTATAACAGCACACGTCTGCGAATTTTGCTGACGTCAAGCTTGCAGTTGGCGGTACGACAGTGCCATTTCCAACAGCCATATTCGAATTTTTGATTAAAGTTATCACTCAGAAAATATCAACAAGGATTAGCTTAGGCTATGGAATATAACATCATCATCTGAAGAGGTTAAGCTTTTAGTCAAATGTTTTGTTTTGTAAATAGACACGGTTATTCATTATGACATCTCGGCGACAAAAGTTGTACACTAAGGCAATACAAAGCCTGACTACTTTTATCAATACATTTGGATAAACACACCGACAAGGATGATATGACGCGGAGAACCAATTAAACGCATCACTGACTTCAAAGCAGAACTAAAACAATTTCGTTTCGTGATGACTTAAACAGGAGAATCTTGGAGATTAAAAATTCAAATTCATATTGAAATAAGTAAAGAAAATCTTACAGCCGCTTCCGCTTGTGATTTATATCTTTTTACTTGCGTTTCTAATCGAAGAGTCTGAAACAGTTGAAGATTATTATTAGATTAGGAAGGCAAAAGAACGACTTTCAAAAGAACGAATTTTGCTGCAGAAGCGAAGACGAAACACATCTGCTCCGAACGGCATTCAGATTTTGTTAGATGAAATGCAGGGGTGTCTATTAATTAATGAGCTCTTGTCAGAGTTATGCAGAAAATATCATGGAGTTGAAAATTATTTGCATCGTATTAAAATAAAAGGACATGATATTCTACTTTGTTAGACTAAAAAGATACTGCTAAAAAGATACTGATAATAACGTAGCAAGTCTTCAAAAATAGAATAAGACACTCAAAATATACAAAAATTTACAATAGTAAAGTTCTCACCAACCAAGTGCACCCATGCGGTGAAAAGATAAGATTGATTGAATGAATGAATGAATGAATGAATGAATGAATGAACGAATGAATGAATGAATGAACGAATGAATGAACGAATGAATGAACGAACGAATGAATGAATGAATGAACGAATGAATGAACGAATGCACAATGCTGGGGACCTGTTTTGCAACACTATGTGTTTTTTGATGATGAAATCATTGCCTCTATTGATGGAAATAATTACTACAAGAACTCAAATATTTACAATGGAAAGGTCTACATCTTGTAGTGATACAACTGCAGTTATCGATGAATAAAAACTTGTGAATAATAATGAATTTGTGAATTTGGTTAGATGGAAATTGTGGGGACAGTACTTACATTGCCTTCGAGTCTTGCATTCTCGGTTTCTAGCTTTTGTATCCTCATTTTCAGGTCTGTCGATTGTTTATTCAGCTCTCCTTGAGAAAAGAATGAGGGTAATAATTGCTATTCATTTTCATGAAGTTAAATCGAGATAATCGACGAAATGACCACTGCACTCATTAGTACACTGAAGATAGCAAAAGCTGAATGGCAACACTCTGTTGAGAAGTGTATACACCAAAATAAAACGGCAAAATTAATTATGCTTTTGGTGTATAGAACAGGACGATTCTGAGTTGTTACTCCAGCTCCAAGCTTAATACGATCATCAGACAACTACTCATCTTTAATAGAGGGTACTGAAGAATATATATATAGAGTAACTAGTAAATACTGCTGGGACTATGGAGTCACTAGTAAATAGAGTCACTAGTAAATATCATTAGTAAATACTGCTGGGACAAGAAAACGTCTTTGGTCACGTCTACGCAGATCCGATTTCAAAATAATTGTGTTTTCGTTAAGTTGAAAAAACGCTAGGAGCAGGACTTTGGAACTGAGCAAAAAGGAACTATTCATCTACAGAAGAGATAGGTAGTGAGTGTGAAGCCTTCAGATTGTCACTCATTAGATGTCACCGCATAATAGGTTTCATTTGTCATGAATTGCGCAGAGATATTACAGCCGTGCGTATATTTTTATTCTTACAATTAAGCGTTTGGAAATAAACAGCCTGATAGGTTAGTAGCGAAAGTTTTACATTACAACGAAAACTGTACTTAGTGGAAGGAACAAGTTCGTTGAGAAAGTAGTATTGCCAATCTTAACAGGCGCAAATATAAAAATATCAAAGTGTTTGGCAAAGATACGAGAGCCTGCTTATAGACGCTTGATTTACTTTACTTGATGATGTTTTTAAGTGGTATACTGCTCTGGTTACCCTCCTTAAACGCAAAATCAAATAAAATAAAAAATCGCATAAAATCCAATAAAAAAGCAACCAATACAAAAATATCATTAAAATGCCATACTCAAGAAGAAACAAGACGTCTTTTGATGTCAACACAACCACTACACGCCTTTCAAAAACAAAATATCAAGCCAGTTACCTGTGGAGGGGGCAATTTCTCTTTTAATCGACCTTGTGACAATAATTCAAATGCTAGGTCCACTTTCAATACTTGTCAAGATAACACGCCGTTGCTTATCCAGTACACATGTTAAGCCTGTAACTTAAATCCTACAATACTGGGCCTTGCAGAACCAGGACGAGTAAAACAGACAGACTGAGCATTCAAGTAACCCTGTGTCAATATAATTTGTCAACTGCAATACTACAAAAACGACACAATTAGAAAAAAATTACATCTGCAATACAACGATGAAGAACAATAAGTAAAATACTTCAACATATAATTGTACTTCCCTCTTCAACATAAAATTGTACTTCCCTCAAAGAGACGCTGATGTGCATTAATGACTAAATTCAAGTTACTTTTTGTCTCACGAGCGGGAAAGACAACGCTGTCACGACTGGATGAAATTTTCTTCGCAAACTGGCGTATGAACCGAAGCTACAGAAAGTGCAGACAAAATAAATGTCTCAGTCTGAATGCTAAGAGAACTAATAGACTAGTACGAAAACTCTCTAAAGTGCGTAGTCATATCCATGAAACCTCCATATAGCAGACATCTGTGTGATCAGAGATTCTGTCAGTTTGGAAATCTCTGTTGTAGGGAGATATCCGTTTTCAGAAGATGGGGGGGGGGTGTTGTGATAGGGAGGTGTCTGTTGTAGGAAGAAATATGTTGTAGGGAGACAACTGTTAAAGGAAGCTTTCCTTTTTTGGAGATGTCCGTTTTAGGGAGATATCTAATGTGTAGAGATGTCCGCTGTTAAATCGTTGTGATCAGATGAAATAAATCTTGGTGAAAAAGCCCAAAGCTGTCTCTTTATGTCCCTAAATAGGGGTTTCTCTGTACAAGTAACATAAAATAAAATTACAATTCCATGAATCAATCAACTATTACAGAAACAAGTTTTCAACTGCAAATTATAAAAACTTGCAGTTGGACCATACAAGTACTCAAACGGCTGAATTCTAATGGTTTAATATACATCACGATCATTGTAACGTCTTTAGGCGAACAAATCAATTATACTGAAAAGAGCATATACCGGTGAAGAGTATGACTGGAGGTGTTTATGAAACAAAGATGGCAAGATTATGATCTTTAAATTCAAGCAGAAACATTACAGATATCATATATGCAGGGGAACGAAGCAGGGATGCCGTCCTAGAAAGTTAGGAAAGGGACTGTGCTATAGGTAACTTTTAGAAGCCACACCCAAGACCGCACCCTATATACTTCCATTAATGTTAAATATTCTCTGTTGTGTTATGAACTCATTCAAACTATTCACCAGCTCAAAAAGACTGATAGGAAGTTGCTCATTCACGGACAATCAGTAGCAAAATAAAGGGTTAAATCCTATCTCTCTGAATTTCAAGAAGGGGGCTAAAACGCCCTGAGCCCCCCTCCACGACACCACTGGGCCAGGGGCAATCAAAATTTGCTTCTTGCACCGTTGTGATCCTAGGCAAAATACTACCTTATGTACGGTTATATACTTGCGATTGAAAACCGTATGGTTTGAACTGGGGGTTATATAGAAATGTTTCCTAATCCAGCAAGGAGGATTTTGAGCGGTAGAAAATGTTGAAAGGTTTCTTTAATTGTTCAGGTGAAAAAGTCGGAAGGCCTTCCTTTCCAAGGCATGAATGAGGCTACGAAAATTGCTAAAATTTCGTAACTTTAATCAGCCAGCTTGTTCCTCGCGATAATTGTTATCGGTAAATATCTGATTAAAGAACAACATATCATTAATGTCTTCTCGTCAGTCGAAATCATAACACTGATCTAGAGACTATAAAACTAATCAAATCTAATGGCATCACTGGCTCTTGCATCCATCTTTTTTCGAATCTTTCTTCGATTTGCTCTTGTCTTTAGACTTTCCTTTGATTCCTTCTTCTGAAGTCTCGCCAGCATCTTCACTGGGGTTACCTTGAGCAGAGTCATTAGCACCAGCGGATAACATATTACCTTCAGTGTCTACCTGTTCGTCTCCCTGTGGCTGCAAATCTTCAATTGGCGTGGTTTCTTCCCCTGGATCCTTTTCTTCTTTCTTGCGCTGGTTTTCTTCTATTTTCTCAGGTTGGTCTGCAGCTTCGCTTCCGCTTCCCGAATCGAAGGAAGTTGACGCTAATTCCTGAACAAACATTTTCATTACACTGCCCTTTTCCTTCTTCTTTTTCTTTTTCTTTCTTTGTTTTGGAACTGGTTCCGGGGACACTTGCTTACGTATGGAGCCAGGCGATAGCGACCCTAACCTTTTTCGAGTTTCGAAGGCTGTGATCAGCTGATCTTGGCCAGTTTCTTCGGCATCGCCTCCCTCATTTACCGTGTCACCAACCTTTCCTTCAGATGAAGACTGTGTTTGCTGAAGTTCTTCGGATGGGTAGTCCTTGTCAGGAATTTCGACAACTTCTTCCACCTCTATATCTGGTGACTTGATATCAGCTTCAGGCCTTTCGTTCGCTTGATCATCTTCTTCTAGCTTCGGCACGCTGTCAGAATTTGTGACATCCTTTCCAGAAGTTTCCACCATTCCCGAGCCTTGATTATTCTGGCTTTCTTCGGACGGTAATGGAGAGGCAATCTCAATACAATCATCTTTTACTATGCTTGATGGTTCATTATTTTCTTTGTCTTCATCAGGTACTGATTCGTGAGGATGATCATCTTTCAGATCAGAACTCTTACCTGTAATTTCTTCTTTTTGGTCTTCAGCGGATTGAGTACCTGTTGGCTCAGAATCAGACGAACGATCCTGCACTTCCTGCTGATCACAAGTTGGTGGTGTTTCAAAATTATCCTTATGTTCTGCAGGTTTATCTGCTGAACTATCTGTATCTGTAATCTTATATTCCGCGCAATTATCTTTTACAGCCTCCTCTTCCAAACTTTTGCTATCAATATCTTTTCCTACTTCATTTTTTTCATCCAAATTTCTCTCCACCACTTCGAGAGAGTCACTTGTTACTTCAACAGCAGATAACATTGTATCCGTACTCTGTTTTTGTTTTTCTTCTATCTTCGCGGTATTTTGTCTAGCTGAATCAATCGGATTTTCTCCCAGGTTTACATCATCACACGTAATCAAACTGGCTTCTTCGTGAATTTTCAATTGATCTGTGATTGCAGTGACCTCATTTTCTGAAGAGGCAGCTTCCTTCGTTTGATTTGTGTCACTTACAGACTCTTTCGACTCAACTGTGCTGATATTATTTGCTTCGGATTCACTCTGACTACTTATGTCTTCAAAGATTTGTGACTGGCATTCTTGATTTTCTGGATCCCCAACTGTAACCTTTTCCTCTTTCTCCCCACATTCATCTTGCTCAACACGAGATGGACCACGATCTCTATCTTCTATACATGAATATTGTTGATCACTGCTGTCTTGAAACTCATCTCCATCATCTCCATCATTCTCATCTGCAACTGTTTCCGACTTGTCCAAACTGCTGTCACATTCTGATACAATGGTTACTTGGTCTTCAGGACTCCTCGCCTCTGAAATATCACCAGTTTCTTCTATTTTTGTGTCAGAAACAACCGAGTCATCACTCAGATCTGACTTGGCATCAACAAATATGTCATCTGACTCAATATAATCAAACTCATCTTCATCTTCTTCAGAAAGTTTTTTCTCTATCGTAGATATTTGCATTGCATGTTCATCTACAGTGTGATCAGCATCTTTTGTCAAACTGATGTCAACAATGTCACTTTTCATATCATCGACCAAAATAACAGCATCTTGGCCTGATGTCAGTAATTCAGTATTATTTGCTTCTACAGCAACCTCAGACATTTTACGGGTCGTCTCTAAGATGAGATCACTCTCCAGCTGATTATTAGCAGTGGCGGAATGGTACGTATCAAATGTAGAAGTATCAGCAGCTTGTTCTTCTGTTGCTCTAGAAACCGGCTGTACAGAAGCATCATCCAGTTCCTCAAAACATTCATTACCGTCTTGCTCATCTGAAACCGGAACAGCAGTATCAGACAGTTCTATTTCGACAATATCAGAGCCAGCTGCATCATCACCCGTCATTATTCGGTCAATAACCGATTGTTGAGCAATGAGCACCGCTTGAGAATCTTTAGAAACATCCACGATATCCGATAACCCTTCCTTCAATTCTGCTTCATTATCACTCGCAAGCAAGCCCTCCTTCACATTATTTGCCACTAGCTGATCCTGATTTTTATCCTCCTGCTCCTGCACAGAATCAACAGGCTTGTTTTCAACTGGCAAAGTTTCACTTTCATTGGGGGGACCTGTCGATTTAATGGTACCCTTTGATGCTGCTGTTGCAGATTCAACGATGTCGTAGTCTGTCAGATCCTTTTCAGACTCTTCTGTAACTGTCTTTGCAGTACCTTCGACTTTGGGTATAGTCAAGCTCTGTGCCTCATCTAGGTTTACCAATGCGGCAATCTCCACAGGTGTGCTGATTTCAAGTGGTTTCTCTGACTCATAACTCTCGCTAATTGTGTGTGACCTGTAGCTCTCTTGCATACTTCCTGCCGCACTCTCGGTCACACTATCTGTCAGACCTGATGACAACTCGAAAGATCTGTCCTCAAAGTTCGGGAGCTCTCCTTGTCGCGCATTTTGCTCAATGACGTCATAATCTTCGTTCCTCTCGTTGTTATTCACAATCATTCCACTTCTCAAACGATCACGAATTTCGATGGCTTCATCAGTCACGTCTTCAAAAGCCTCGGATTTCTCAAGTTCTGGGACACCAGTAGTAGAAATTTGTTCAATTTGATCATCTGAGGCTACGTAGAAAAGGAGAAAGGAGTTCTCTTAGAATGGGACATTTTCAAGTTAATTAATTTTTGTGAATAAAATGCATTAGTATTATTAGCCGTTATTGCAGCCTTCCTAACAGTTCGACAGCGCAAGCTAGGCTCCAACAAAGACGTAACAGAACTTTTTTCTAGCCTCTGTCTATAAAATCTAATTTCAAGTGTCCCAAGCTCAACTCCTTTCTCCCATTTCTACATTGCATAAAATTTACTTATTTCATTTAGCAGCCGATCTACGAAAATGAAAATCAAATTAAGTTCAGTTAACGTTGATATGAGATAAGGAGTGGGACAAACAAGGCAAACTGGACATTCAATTAATGGCAAAAACATCAAGAATCTAGATAGAACTGAGATGTGGCGAGACAAGAAGATGGAAAGCTATTATTTCAGTTCGGAGAGTTGCTACAACCCTATTTGACTTACGATATAGTGTGTTTTAGATCAAAACGAATAATTTGTTGTCCACATCTTGGATAGCAAAGATCGACATTACTTCATATTTACAAAATCTGATGAAGTTTATTTGCTTATCTAAGATTTTGGCTAGATCTAAGATCTTTGAAAGAGCCATCTAATGAAATCCACAAAACAAAGCGAATCTATTAATCTATTAAAAACAGCATCAGCGGAATTTGTTAGATCTCCAGGAGCCTGGCATACGCTCAGTAATAGCTTCATTTGCTAAAAATCGGGTTCGTTGCATGTGCAAATGGGACAGTTTAGGAAAGGGGCATTCAAAATAACTGCGGGAATCTCGTGGAACTTTTTGGAAAATTGTATGGCTCAGGGAAAACACATTAAAAAAGCTCGTTATGTAAAAAAAGGAGGAAAAAATGTCCATTCAAGACTAATATTATAAACTCTAGAAGGATGCAATCAGCAGATGATAAAAAAATAATATAATCATGCGTAAAAACGAATGTAAAAAACTAACAATAAAATGAAAATAAACAAAAATCAGAATTCTGGTGTCAATTTGCTGGCAATGAGGGTTTTGTGGGGAACCATGATTTCAGGTTGAAATATAGAAATTGAAAGATTAGTTAGATTGAAGAAAGTCTTCAATAATATGGATACAGTGACGAAAACAGCTGATAAACAAATAACTTTCTTACTTTGCAAGCTTTCAAAATCTCTCATTCTGTCTTCATCATATTCTGGATTTCTTCTCAAATCAGAAACCTGCTCCTTTAACACTTTAATCTAAAAATTTCAAAGGCAGGGAAAATTAATTAGAAATTCGATAGAACTTCACTCTAAAATATCTAAAAATCCAAGCAGGCATCAAGAGAATAGACAAAAGAAACGACCGTTTTAACTCTATAACAAGTAATTAAAACAAAGGACTGGTTTAATCACAAGAAACTCTCATTTCAAACATTTCAAGTACCTTAACAATGGGTTTTGATTACAGAACATTTCACATGAACTAAAACAAAACACAAGTGGGAAAAAGCCGAACCAATTACTTATAACAAAATAAAGATGTTTCAATTTAAAATAACAATTATCAACCCAAATCCTCGTTAACGTACCTGTTCGAGAAGAGAGTCTCTGTCATCCGGGGCTGAGGACCTTCTACTTGATTCCCGACTTTTATTTGTTGCTGAAAAGGAATCATAAAAAGCGTCAAAGAAACCTGCACTCGACTTCTACATCACAGCAAAGGTGAATACTGTAAAATGTCTACAAGCAGGAAATAATTTTCACCTTAGATGTTTAGAAGCAGTTTACCTGAACAATGCAGCACTTAATTTAGTAATCTGTAACAAATGATTTACAAAAATTGAATATATAAATTGAATATATAAATATATATAATTCACAAAACAAACTGAGACAAACTGGCGTTTTGTCAAGCAGCTGACAAAAAAACGAAAGAGCCACAATCCTGACCAAAATTCGTGAGACTGCTTCCCAAATGCAATAGATTTATTATTCAACGTGACCCCCTCCCTGTATATAAATGTTGGGGTGTTTGTATGAGCTAAAATCGAATGCTGGGACATTTAGCTGTCACTCGGAGAACAAAATTAGAGAATTTAGTTGTGACAGTGACAAACCTGAAGTATCGAAATCTGTTAAATCTAAATTCACCGAGTCATTCATTCGATTTGCGAGCTCATTTTGACTTATGTCCGGCTGTTCTGAGCCATCCGTTGGTATTCCATGCTCCTGTGACGAGAGAGGGAAATTCAAGATTCAAGGTGCTGAAAAAGGTTCAAGTTATGAAAAGATAAACAAAGACCTATCTATTGCATGCAGTTAAACTATTTGCAAGCTCAGAAAAAAATCCTTGGAATCTTTTGTTGCTGAAGGGTCATTCCATATCAAAGGGGGACACCCATGTAACCCACCCTCTCAGAATTGTCCAATTCTGACCACACTGAATCTCACTGAGCAATATTACTAAGAATAACATTTTTTGAAGGGGGAGAGGGGATTCAACAGAAAATGAAAATACAAAATACATAAATTTCAGAAAGTGTACCAAGGCTTAAGACAGGGATAGTATATACCATATTAGATGATACGCTACATAAGACTGAAATTTACAATAGGATATGGGGCAATATTATTAGTATAGTTGTCAGTTTTAGTTGAAACTAACTGGAAAGACCAGAGCTTTGAAAAGAAATAATTATATATATATAATATTTGCATTTCCTTTTTGTAGTACCAATTTATGTAGTGCCAAGGATGCTAAGGTTGGCACCCACACCAGTCAATACCATTTACTACTAGCAGGGAGTCGAGAATCTTAGGACTTTGAAATTGTGATATCAGTTTGGAGAGTTGATTGCAACCGGACGTCTTCAAATAGAAAAAAGCCTAACATTTACGAAACTTAAAATCTTTGAAATCCTTCGGAACGAAAAAAAGAGAATTACAGCTTGAAGGACTAAAAAGGATGGAAAACAAAAAAGCATTAGCGGCTTTTCTTAAAACATTCCTGGGGGGTGATAGTCCTCAATTTGCAGAGTATTGAAAAGACAGGTCGCTGTTAACTTTGTACTTCTTTATGATCTATTTTGAGGCTGATCTTGATGCAAAATTGCTAACTGGAGGTTGCTCCTTTCTCCATTACCCCAAATAACCTAATAATCGCCCCACTGACTTTATGAAGAACCGACAAAATTTGTAGAGCTTAATTACATACTAAACACTTTTTGCACCAATTCTTGCTTGTTGGACTTTACAGCTTAATCATTGTTTCTTGCATGAACTTTTAGAGTTTGGTTTCAAGGGTGCCGCATTTAAGAAATATAACTAGTCTTACCTCAAGCAGCTTATCCCGTAAAATCAGCTGCTCTCGTGCTTTCTCTAGTTCTTCTATATGGTTCTTGTTTTCTCTTGATAAACGATTAATATCCTACGAAAAATAATAAATCATAAACAATAGAATGGTAAAACAATTTTTAGTGGGAGCCTGAACCAAACTTTGACTTCAGAATACGACGCTTTGGTGTAAGGATGTCTTTTGACCGGCTTGTGCACTAGGGCATGCTTGATTATATTCTACAATCGACATTACTCATTCAGAATATCACTGAGGTTTGACCAATGAAATGGGATACACTCCTGTCTCTCTGAAAACAGCTAAGGTTTCCTTCTAATGGGTGACTAATAATGGATCAATTGAGCGTCGAAAATCTACATGAAATTTGACAAATATTTCCTCATAACGTAAAAATAAGCGAAATGCATGTTCGAATTTTCCTTCTTACTGTCTCTTTTATCGTATACAGGGTTTCTGCTCACAAAAATATGAAGCATTGGGGTAGTACTTTGGGGCTAATTATGAATTAAATCACAGAAGGTATTCACAGAAGGAAATCGCTTCAGATCTGGGAGGGGGGGCACAGTTTTGCCTCAAAGCCATCGTATTGATTTCTGTATTTGGCAACTCTTTTTACTTATAGGCCTTAAACAGTAAGAGAAACATCAATGACATACAAAGCAAAATAAAGTTTTTACCCTTGTTTTGTCTAAAATTTCTTGTTTTAAATTTTCGATCACTTCCTCTGCCTCTTCAAGCCTGGATATAACAAGGCAAAAACCATAAATCCTTTAAAAAGATTACACACAAAAACAAAATACAAATAAATACTGCAAAGACGAATGATCTTCATGAAAGTGAATTTTATGTATGGAACATAACGCAAACAAAGCAGAAGGAACGGACAACTCTAGAACACGAGAAAGCTATTTTGCTTCAGGTGAAATGATGTTACAATGTTTGAAACCAGAAAAATTTATACACCTTGCTAAGAATACGACTGTAAGGGGGCAAAGACAAAATGAGCATATCTTGTCCAAAATATGTCTTAGACGCAATCGCAGATTTACTTTATTTGGCACGACCTGTTTTAAATTTCATTCCAATTACAATTTCCTTTAACGTGTTTCAACACTCACTTTGCTACACATTTCTTACTGAAATTCCCAGTATCAAAAAACATCTATAAATCCTGCTAAAATCCTCTTTACATTACGAATCTGAACTTACAAAAACTTCAAATTTAATGTCTAAAGACCGAAATATTATAGTCTAGGTGCTAATAGAACCGATAGATAACTAAATTGATGAAAAGGGTAAGAATAAGACTTACCTGTCCTTGAGACAGTCCACTTGGTATGCAAGAGCTTGCTTCTCGTTGTCAAACTGAGCATTTGATACCATTGCCTTCTTATACTTTTCACTCACTTCTCGAAGGTTATCCTTCAAAACGATAAAAAAATTCTTAATATATAGAACTTTTTGTGTTTGACACTACTCATTTCTTTCAGGTTTTTACGCAGTAACGAGCACAAGATGAAAGTATAACTAAAAATTTGGTTCAGATGGAAATAGCAGACACATTCAACAAAACATCAATGAGTTGATGTTTCATAAGCTCATAGCATGCCCCCTAACGAATAAACCGGAGCAAAATTCATCTAAAAAACCAAAGCATAAACGAAAGTCAAATTCTGCGACCATTCTACTGGATCAAAGCCTAAGTTTCATAGCTTCAAACAAAGTCCGAAACCAAGTTTCAAACTTTCTTCTAGAGATCTGTAAATAAGAG